ATTGGCAAAAATTAATTAAAATTAAAAATGTCAAATGTTGGTGGGAATATAGGGACTATGAGAACCCTCACAACCTAATGACGGCAGTATAAACTGGTATAGCTATTCTGGAGAGCAACTTTTGAAATATTTAGACAAATTAAGTCCATTACCCCTTTCCATAACCCTGTAATTCTACTCTTGAGTCCACTATTCAAAGTAATTCTCACTCTGGCCCATAAATAAACATATACAAGAATGCCCATCCTATGGTAGCAGATGGGAACAGGAGGTAATCTCAGTGCCTATCACGGAGGGAAAATAGGGGTAGATAAAACTTGGTGATAAAAGTATATGAAATACCATGCAGTCATTAGAAATAAGGAAATCAATTATCAATTAGGAATATATCTTAAACAGTGACCAGGAGAAAACTAAAAAAAAAAAACTTAGGCACAATAATTTTTCTAAGTTAAAAATACACACCAAAATATGCTCAGAAAAACACACATTTAAAAACATACACAGAGCACCCATGTCCTCCACCCTTCCCTTCTGTGCTGATGCTGCCCGGCTCATATCAGCCTCTAGCCTGCTTTCAATTAGTTGTGGAGTTCCAGTGAAGAAATATTTGAGGTTAATGTGGAAACCACCAAACAATCTGTACTATCAAGATCACGTTGGAAGACGTGGGAATGAATGAAGGAGATGATGACCCAGTTCCTCTATCAAATGTTAATGAAGCAATATTTTAAAAGGTCATTCAGTGATGCACCCACCATAAAGATGACCCTCCTCCTCCTCCTGCAAATACTGAGAAGAAAAGTGAACAGATAAAAATCCTGTTTGGGATCAAGAATTCCTGAAAATTCACCAAGGAACTCTCTTTGAACTTACTCTAGCTGCAAGCTACTATCAAAGGTTTGTTACATGCAAGACTGCTGCCAATAAGATCAAGGAGAAAACACCTGTGGACATTCCCAGACTTTCAATATCAAAACAACTTTACTGAAGGGGAGGAAGCCCACATACACAGAACTAATGGTGTGAAGAAACGCGAAATGTGCCTGACACTGTAAAGATTGTTCCAAATACTAGTTGCACTGCTCTAGAGTTTATAATTATTAATACCAAAAAAAGTAGACAAATACAACAGCAAATCGACTGCATTAGCAGAATACTGTCATTGTACGTACAGTTTGAGTACAGATTCCAAACCTAATGCTGAGTTTCTTCTAGTGTGATTAAAAGGTGTTTTTTTTTTTTTTTTTTTTGCCCTGAATAAAACGGAACTGCGGATTCTCTATAGAAACTAACATTTTGGTATTTCCCTCCTTTTGTAAAGCAATTTCTGCCTAGTTTGTAATCCAGTTAACTTTAGTGGCCTTTTAAAAGTTAGCATTGTAAATAAAACTTGCAAAAAGTTTTCTGAAAAAAAAAAAAAAAAAAGACACACACACACACAAAATAATTGTTCCTTTGGGGAAGGGGAGGGCAAGAAACCCCTGAAACTTCCTCCCACAAACAGCTTGTTTCAAATCAAACATGAGTAATGAAGAAATAAGCAAAAGCAACATAGGAGCTGTACAATATAGTGAGGACAGAGAGGGAGGAAGGGAAGGCTGAAATTAGCATATACTTAAATCTCAGAGACTAGAGGATCCTGCTCTCCCAAACAAAACAGCCTGGCCCTGGCCCAATCACTTCACAGTAGAGCCCATCAGTGCATCCCTGCACAGAGTTGAGTTTCTAATCAGCATTTTAATGATCCACCCTCAAAAACAACAAGGCAACTAAGGTTCAGCAGAATTTTTTTTTAAGAGACAGGGGTTCACTCCATCAGCCTGGCTGGAGTGCAGTAGTGTGATCAATGCTCACCATAACCTCAAAATTCTATGCTCAAGCAATCCTCTTACCTCAGCCTGTTGAGTAGCTGGGATTACAGTTGCACATCGCCATGCCCAGCTAATTTAAAAAAATTTTTTGTACAAACAGTATCTCACTTTGTTTCCCAGGCTGGTCCTGAACTCCTGGCTTCAGGCACTTCTCCACCTCAGCCTCCCAAAGCAAAGGGATTACAGGCATAAGCCACTACGGCTCCTATTGACATTTTAAAGCCAAGTAATGTGAAATTGTTTTCACTTAATTTTGGAAATAATCAGATAATACCAGTTGTTTAGAAGGGTTTCCATGACTATTAAATAAAAGCAAGATATAACAGGATTCCATTTCTATAAAATACAGAATGAAAAGAAGCAGGTCTAAGTACAATTTTAAGAGCATGAAAAGGGTATGGAAGGTAAGCATGGGTAAGCAAACCAAAAGCAAGACAGGTATTTATAATAAAAGGAATATATGTATTATATTATGCCAGTGGTATACGATCATGTATGTGGAGAATATACACAGGAATCTAAAAAATCAGAGTCAATAGACATCAAATGGTGGCTACATTTAGGGGCTAAGATTTCAGATTTTATTTATCCCTTTTTACTTTTTTTAAAACAATAAGCATATTTAGGTTTTGGCTTGGCATACATTCACTGGACTGGTTTACATTTCTCTAATAAGAAAATTTTCATTAAAAAATAAAAAAATTACGAAGAACTACAAAAAGTACTTGTTATCTAGAAGAAGGTAAGCAGGCAATCAATATTTTTCATTAGTGATTTTCATTAGTGATTTCATTTCATTAGCCTAAACATTCATAGGTCTAATGCTAAAAAAAACTTAGCTTTTAGACTTAGCTTTTAGTTGGTGGTTATTTCAGTCTAGTTTACTGAAAATTCCAATATAAAACAGTGTTATGCTTTAATATACTATAGATCTAAGCTTTCACTCCTTTACAAATAATGGCTTCTGTTCGTACCTCAAAAAACCAGGGTTCTCCTAGCGATCTATGCAAATAGACAGGTTAAGAGGCATCGATTACGTTTACCCATTTGTCTTTCTGGAATACTCTAAGTACACACAGAGTTTATATGGTAGAAGCAAAATTAGCCCTTTGCTGGGGTTTCAGCAGGCAGGATTCCAAGAACTTCTGAGAATCTGAGTATTTCTGTATTAAACCACTGTGTTTAATGTTTATAAAAGATAAATATGTTTTGAAAATAGCAAAAGCATCTCTTTTAAACTTAACTTTTGTCAAGATATTTACCCTGAACTTAAGAAAGATCCTCATGAGAATTAGATTTGCTTTAACCTGATAAACTAACTCTCAAAATATCCTCACATTTTGGAAACTACCTCACCACGGGTATTTTCCAACATAGGCCAGGTTTCAGTGAACATGCAGCTCCCTTGACCATAAACTGTTTTACCTCATCTGCTAATTTTTGATAAGAGAAATGATAAAACTACTACCCGATGCCACCAGGCCCTCTTCCTTTTATGCTAGTCAGCCTTAAAAATAGTAGTAACTCAATTTAGAGACTCATAGTAAAGTCATAGTTACTCGAATTCACCGAAAGTAGATGGTGGTTGCCAGGATCAGGGGAGAGGAGGAAATGGGGAGTTATTTTTCATTGGGTACGGAGTTCCAGTTTGGGAAGACAAGAAAGTTCTGGGGGTGGATGGTGGATGATGGTTACAGAGTGATGTGACTGTACCGAATGCTGCTGAACTGTACACATTAAAATGGTAAATCTTACGTTATGTATACTTCACCATAGTTTTTTAAATGTTTTTGTCTTGTTTTGTTTTTAGAGACAGGGTCTCACTCCATTGCCCAGGGAAGAGTGCAGTGGCATGATCATAGTTCACTATAGCCTTGAACTCCTGGGCTCAAGCAATCCTCAACCTGCCAAGTAGTTAGGACTACAGGCACAGGCCACCATGACCAGCTAATTTTTAAATTTTTTTTTTTGGAGACAGAGTCTCACTCTATCGCAAGGCTGGAGTACAGTGGCACAACCTCGATTCACTGAAACCTCCGCCTCCTGGGTTCCAGCGATTTTCCTGCCTCAGCCTCCCAAGAAGCTGGGACTACAGGCACGCAGCACCACACCCAGCTAATTTTTGTATTTTTAGTAGAGACGGGGTTTCACCATGTTGGCCAGGATGGTCTTGATCTCTTGACCTGATCCACCTGCCTCAGCCTCCCAAAGTTTTGGGATTACAGGCGTGAGCCCACCAGGACCGGCCTAAATTTTTTGTAGACATAGACTCCAACTATGTTGCCCAAGCTGGTCTCAAATGATCTCAAATGATCATTTGATCTCCAGGTCTCAAATGGTCTTCCTACTTGAGCTTCCCAAAGTGCTGGGATTACAGGCATGAGCCACTGAGCCTGGTCAAAATTATTTTAATGCAGTAACAATTGCATTTCATCCTGCTTTGGACTTCAACAATGTGAAAAACTACTGCCGTGAGCTCAATTTCCCAGCCTAGTCCTACCACTTCCACCCATCTTCCCATCCACATCCACTCTGTAAAACAGAGTTGGACAATCCAAGGGGAAAAATAATGGTGGGAGGGGCAACCAAAGTGAAAAGTTCACAGTGAGGTTGGGAGGAGGGTGCATCAGGAAGGATATGGTTCCTTTACCTTGACACTTGTTTCTATTGTTCTCCTAAGACCTTTCCCAAATTAGTTTTCTGATCCCAAAGAAACTCACAATATCCTGATGGTATGGCAGATTTGGCTTAAACAATTATTACTGTGACAGGTCATCACCATTGTAACCTGCTTCAACAACCTTATAGTCCTATATTCTACTCCCTTATGTCAGGAACCCTGATGATGATGATGCCCTAGCAGCCTGGAAGCTGAATGTGCAACTTCCAAGTTGGGCAAACGTTTTATAGTAACCCATTAAATCAAATAATACAGTCTATACTTTCCCCTCTCTCAATTCCTCTAACTAGAAGTACTCCCATTCCACAATATCCAAATCAGAAGGAACTTTCACTAAATTTGTTAAAACACCCTCTACAAGATGTCTACTAGTCTGCTGTCTTCATTCACTAGATGAAACCCTTAAACTAAAAAGGGTTTTACCGTTTTCCAAACATAACACATACCTGATGATGAAGCTGGAGTCCTGTTAAAATTGTCTCCATTTTCTCCAGAAGAATACCTATCCTGTAAGAAGGAAGAAAGAAAAGACGAGTTTCTGACTTTGAATACAAATGTGTCATTTATTTCACAAATACTAGAAAATTGTAACAATTGGGCTTTATTCAGAACAAAATAATGACATACTGTAAGGTTTTCTAAATCACTGGATGTTTCTTTACTAATTATTCCAAGACATCTTCACTTTAACATTGTATATATAATACTAATATATATCACTAGAACAGTGGTCAGAAAACTACAGCCACAGGCCAAATATGGTGGGCCACCTGATTCTGTAAACAGTATTGGAGCACTGCAACAGCAAAGTTGTGACAGACAAGTAAGGCCTATAAAGTCTAAATTATTTGTTATCTGGCCCTTTATAGAAAGGGTTTGCTGAAACCTGACTCAAAACAAAAGTTTAGTCATTTAAGTCACCCATATTCCTGAAAAGTACAATCAGGATGGGTGTGGTGGCTCTCGCATGTAATCCCAGCACTGTGGGAGGCTGAGGCAGGAGGATCACTTGAGCCCAGGAGTTCAAGACCAGCCTGGGCAACATAGCGAAACCCTAGCTCTACTAAAAATACAAAAAGTTAGCCAGGTGTGGTGGCATGAGCCTGTAGTCCCAGCTACTCAGGAGGCTGAGGTGGGAGGTTCACTTGTGCCTGTGAGGCAGACGTTGAAGTGAGCCAAGATCACACCACTCACTCCAGCCGGGTAACAGAATAAGACCCTGTCTCAAAAAATAAAAATAGAAAAGAAAATATAATAAAATATCATTATAAAATCTGACAAAGTAATACATGAATAAACCAACACTGGTCAATATACACTACTGTGTGCTGAGTTCCATATATTACAGTATATTCATCAATACTACAGCGTATTAGTGATTTAACACTAATCTTTGTTCTAGAAAAGTACTACAGAAATTTTTAAAACCTCTACTGCATTTATAGTGAAACCAATTAATGGTACTCTCATGTTTTAAAAAGGAATTCACTGGCCGGGCTCAGTGGCTCACACCTCTACTTTGGGAGGTCGAGGTGGGTGGATCACCTGAGGTCAGCAGTTCAAGACCAGCCTGACCAACATGGAGAAACCCCACCTCTATTAAAAATACAAAATTAGCCGGGCATGGTGGCAGGCACCTGTAATCCCAGCTACTCAGGAGGCTGAGGCAGAAGAATCGCTTGAACCCAGGAGGCAGAGGTTGCGGTGAGCCGAGATTGTGCCACTGCACTCCAGGCTGGGCAACAAGAGCAAAACACTGTCTTACACCGTCTCAAAAAGAAAAGATTCACTGTAAAGTAAATTCACTTATGGACTGAAAACAATTTATATACGCAACCTGCCACTGCACTACAACTACAATGAAAAGGTATATCCTCAGCTATAGCATCAGAATATTCATGGTTAATTTTAATCAAATTTGCCATAGCAGTAGCTGAAGACTGTCTTTGCTCTCAAATACTAACTGTTCCACTTTCCCTACTTTAGGCTAAAGAAAATTATTTACTATTAACACACAAGCATTACATTAGCAGTGGTCGAATTACTGCTGGATTTAGAAAATTCAACTTGTTATAAAATCAATAGCTGAATGCAGGTTAATTTTGGAAACTTCCAACATTTCTCTGGACAGCTCTAGATTAAGGACAATTTGAGTAAATTTTTTTCTCACTTCTAACTCTTAGGGTGTCCTTATCATCAATCCACACCTTTACTCCTTCTCACATAAACTTCCTTTAATTATGGCAAAAGTTCAGAATAGAGCTCCGAAATTCTTGCACATGACAATCAGAATTTTTTTTTTTTTT